GGTCGTGTCCTCTTTTGGAAGACCAAACAAAGTAGTTTCGCTTTCACAACGAAACACACAGCGTCACACACGACAGGCTAGAGTGAGCGGCGGCCGGAGGCCGAGAGTGAGCGGAGGCCGGCTTGAGTGAGCGGCGGTGGGCTTGAGAACGGCGCGGCCGGCGGATTCGGTGAAGGAGCGTCCGGCGGGCTTGTGGCAACCACGTGTGACGACCCCGGGCTTGACTCCGCTTCGTCCATGCAAATCTTCCCACATCGTGACGTAGACATGTGGGGGCGTGTTAGAACGAGCCGTTTTAGGTAGGTGTGGTTGACTCTTAACTTTTATAAAGAATATCTCTTTGGATTTGAGACTTTAGTCTTTGCAACTTTACAGATCTTCTTTATGCACCAAGAGCTTGTAACACTCCAAAGAGAAAGGAAAAATTTAAATTGCATCATATGACCCCTTTAAACAAAATTTACTTTAAGGAAGTACCCTCTAATTTCTGATAATGAGGTGTTAAAGAGCAATCAAATCACACTATCACCTTTCTCTAGAATGTGGTGAAGCTCTTTGGCTCGGCAGGCTGAGCCAGACTTGCGGTAGATGCCCTCTGTGTACAGTCCGTTCATTTCGACATGTACCAGCATCTTCTCCATGACAAAGGGTACAGAGTCAGCTGTGCGGACCAAGGCACAGAGCGGTACACCAAAGTGGAGGGTCTGCTCACCCTCTTTCTAAATAATGGAAACATACAAATAAACTAACTATATGATCCAACACATCTTTTATTACAAATAGAAATTAAACTTCTGTCACTATCTACACTATCATGTTAGCGAGGTTGAGTAGATGATGGCAAAAATTTCACTGGGTGTATATGTGATGGAGTAATACTACATAAAGTAATATATGACAGCAGTGCTCACCTTCCTGTCACAGTGACCCGTGCAATTTACAGTTATCTTGCTCAGACACTTCTTATGACACACCATTTTACAAGCTGAAACAGAAAACACAGCATAAATGAAGTACCACTGAACCATTGTCAATTAGCATTGTTTAAGGAAAAGGATGGTGGATACTTACAGCTGCACATGAAGGCCTTTTCCATTCCCCATATGTATGAGCTGCACTGGTCACATGATTGCATTATAGTCACCTGGTATGTGCTAAATAAGTGACCCAGTGGGCCGTCAGGCTTACAGACAAAACAAAAGGTTTTGGAAGAGGTGCAATAAATATTCACATCATATATTATAAATATAAACGTGTTTCTATGTCATGAAAATAACTTACACATTTATCTCTTTTAGATTTTCTTCTATTCCTCTCCTTAACCTGAAAATGAGACCGAGGGAAACACAAGCTAAATTCAAGGAAAAATGATAACTAGTTTGGGTCAGATCAATAATTAAAAAAAAAAAACTTTTATGTAGCATAAAATTGGTCAAAAGTGATAGCAAATACATTTATAAAGTTACAAAACATTTAATTTGTAAAAGATTCTACAAAAAAACGTAATAATATTTAATATTACAGTTTTACTCTCCTTTTGATTAAATAATTGTAGCCTTGGTAAGTATAAGAAACGTTTTTCATAAACATTAGAAAATTTGATTCAACTGGGAATTGTATTTCTGTGGAAATTTAAAGTCTTCTATGGAATTCTGCAGGCCCAGATTCTTTGAGGATCTGGTGATAACTTACCTTCTCAAAAATATATTTGAGCAAAGCTAAGCTTCTGTGGCAATCTTTACAACTTATTAAGTTACCTTGCAAGGCTCTGTCTCCAGTCGTTTGAGCTCCCCCCTGATAAATCCATCCAGAACTGACTGAAAAAGATTTACCACCAGCGGCACCTCAGATGCTTTCTTGAGCCCTGCGAGACTGGCTACCCTCTTCTGGTAACCTGACATCAGGTCCTTATAGCCGATATTGGGATTCTTTTGGGCACAAGAAACGGATCATTTCAAAAACTTGCCAAAAAACGTAACTTTTTTTTTTTTTTTATCTACTGCACTTGTGAAACTACGATGAGAGTAAAGTTATAGATGAGTGCAGATAAACTCACTGATATGGAGTACATGCTTTTGATGGTGTCTCTGAACTGCGTGGTGGCTAAAAAGAAGATTTTCTCCGTTTCTGAGAGTACCTTTGAGCGGGTGCTTAGATCGTTCATCTGGATTCAAAACCACACCATAAGATCAAGTATTTAAAAGTACAAAGTGATGACTAACAACAAACTATCAGGATCAGGACTATCAGGAACTAAAGGAAACATTTATAACAACTAGGGTGTCAAATCCAAAAACCGAAATACCTTTCAAAATGCTAATGAAGAATAAACATCAACAACACAAACCTGATTTCCCAAGAACTCATCCAAATGGTGAAGTTCATTACTGTCAGTGATCTCTCTGTCCAGCGAAGCATTCCACTTCTCCTGGACACGAGTAGCTCGGCTGATTTTAATGGTGGGGTTGCGACGGGGTCCAGGAAAAGTGGCTGAGTTCTTGACACGTGGAGAATAGGAGTGAGAGCCACTGGCTTTTGGCCCGAAGAGACAGAGGTAAATGAGAGAAAAAGAGGTAAGTCATTGCAACTCGAACAAGCACTCACAACTGGTCTACTTTTTTTCCAACATATCTTGTATGTATGTATGAGCTTATGTATGCATGTATTTCACAAATACAATAAATTATTAATTTAAATATTTCTGAATGAATGAAGTGAGTCTTGGAGAATAATTTAACCTAGCTCCTCTTTTTCTGCCAATGTCTTCGCCATAGTTACATTCCCATCCTGGGGTGTCAGGCGCCTTTTAAAATATTTTAGGAATCCCCGCCTACAGGATATAAACAGAAAAAAAAAATGAAATAGAAATGCAAGCAACACACTTATATGTATTATAAAATGTTTAAAATCGATTTAAAACAAAAACAAACAAACATCACATTAGCTGAGATATTTCAAGTAAAAGCTAGAACAGCAAGATTCAGCAAGGTAACATGCTGATGGAAAAGCACTGATCACCTTTCTGGTGTGCTGGACGGTGCGATTACTTCACTTGTTCTTCTTGTGATACTTATGCACCCCTCAGATTCTACAGGTGACTGGATCTGAAAGACCAAAGCATGTTGAGAGACTCAATGAGAATGATTATCATGAAACTGCAGAAAAAAAGTGGCACACTCATCCAAACCCTGAATGCCTGACAATCACTCCAATCAAAACTACACATAACAATGATGAGTTTTTAGTGTATACATCACTTTGTTACCCATAGTCCCGTCATGCATTCAGATCAGCAAACCAGCCACTGACAGTTCAGGACAAAGCAAGACAACATTCAAGCGGACGCAAAACAACAGTTTAGCTGACAACCATTTAGCAAAGAATGTTTTCTAACCAAAATATTCACTGATAATGCAGATCGAGTGGGTTTATTTCCTCGAATTAGTGCCACCACCAACCTCCCACACTGCATTCCAAGATCCATGTTGACCTTTTTTGCTATGGGTTATGGAATTTTAGCAGTATTTCATATTGCTGTACAAAATGTCTTGCTAAATCTGCACAAGGTCTGACAATTATTAGTAAAATTATGAAAATTACTGTTAAATTAGTTGGCAAAGCTCTTCAGAGCCACAGCATCCACCATTGTGAGACAATTTTCTGTGATAAGTAAATAAATAAATAAGAAACTAAAACCTCACAAAACAGATACTGGAGCTGTTAAAGCTTGGAGTCAATTTTGAGGAAGTGAGTGTTACAAAAAAAGTTAATATAAATTAATATAAAATAGAATGTGATTATGATTAAAATATTCTAGAATGTGATATTATTTAAGACCCAATTAGTACTATAAAAGATGATTAAATCACTTCTATAATGATACCAATCGTTGAAGCCATACAAACATCAAAAGCATTGGCCAGTTTTAGGTATATAGAGTCAAACATTTAAAACATCTGCAAATCAGCAACCACAACATTCTTCTTCTTACATTTATTTACTATATTCACTAATTAGCACACCTAGCAGCAGCCTCAGTGCGTGTACTGTGTCAAATGAAACAAAAAAGGTCAGAAACCAGCTTCCAGTCAGAAACATCAAGAACAGGATCAGCCTGGTTTCCAAAGAGAAGTCTTTGAAACTTTCTACATTAAGCTAATGCTGATTCTCATGGTATGTTAGCTGTTGCGTGCAAAAGCAAGGCCCCAACAGCTCGAATGGTCCCTTTGTAATCGTTGTAACTGGGTCAGTCTTTTACCACAGTCTCCAGTTCCATGCGGATACTGGACTGGTTGGGAGTGGAGGGGCTTATGGGAGGTAGGGGAAAACTCCAGTACTTCATATCGCTTAGATCCAAATGATCCAACTTCAGCCCGCTGCGGGGACGTGCTAGCCGGCGCTTGTGTCTGAAATGCTTACGGTTGTGAACCATAACCTATGATACGCCAACCGGTTTAGATGAGGGGAAAAAAACCCAAAACGTAACCTGTACCAGCTGATCCAGTTATGTATAAACACTGTGAAATAATCAGTACAGCATCTTTGAAATTCTCTCAACATACACAACCGTTCAGAGGTTTGCAGTTGGTAAGATTTTTAAAATGTTTTTGGAAGAATCTCTTACACTGATATTATTAGAACATAAAATAAATGTATTCTATTTTAATATATTTTATGTAATTTATTCTTGTGATGGCAAAGCTTAATTTTTAGCGGCCATTAATCCTTCAGAAATCATTCTGATATGCCGATTTGAAGAAACATTTCATATTTCATATTATAAGAAAACTTTTGTGCTGCTTAATATTTTTGTGTAAACTGTATGTATTTTTTATTTCCAAGATTCTTTGATAAATAGAAGGTTTAAAAGAACAGCATTTATTTGTAATAGAAAATTTGGTAACATTATAAATGTTTTTAATGTCCCTCTTGATTGATTTAATGGGTCCTTGCTGAATAAAAGGATGCATTTCGTTCTTTAAAAAAAGTCTTACTGAACCAAAACTTTTGAATGGTAGTGTATACATTGGTATACATCTGTTTTGGGGAACAAGAAAAAAATGAAAGTCCATTTTTTTTTTGGAGCTCTCACAACATTTTTGATTTAACAGACAGACTAATTTTTAAACAGTACCTCATTTTTGGATGATGAGGATGAGCTGTCCGACTCTGAAGAACTCATTCTGGACACATTATCCAGGGACTGGGTCCTATCATATAAGAAATAGTAACAAATAAATAAGGAATAATGTACTATCAGCCAGTCATTACGGCATGAAAAACTTTGGCAGAGTGAAAATTTGTGTTAATGACCAACTGAATATACATCATTACATGGCTGATTAAGAGATAAATGATGAGACATAAAACATTGATGATATTTTCAGGTACAACAGTCAAATATACAGTTTAGTGGTTATACAAAAATAACTGATTTATTAACACGCATTCCAGAGAGTCACATAATAAAAAAAACAACATAAAAAGAGTTTTTACTTATAAGTCTTTATTTAAAAAAAAAAAGACCAAAACAAAACTCACCGTAAACCCGATTTTCTCAGGCTTTGAAGTCGTAGCATCTCAGCACTGACATTCTCCATATGTGCTACTTCCCTCCTCCTCTCCTTCCATTTCTCAGGCTTCTCCTTCAACCTGGTTGTCCTGTTGTGACATTGTAGGTGTACATTATTTTGAGTTTTATCAGAACCACTTTGGCTCATGTTCAGTGGAAGAGACACAGGCCGAGGGAGGCCTGCAGGAGATGGTTGTCTTTCTTTATTGCCAATATAGTCTTTATCATCTTGAACGAGTTGATCCTCATTGATGCTGAGTTGCTTTGTGATTCTAGTCGGATGTATTGTGACCTTAGGCTTGGTCCCTGTGTTTGACTGCGGGCTCAGCTCCTCTGTCTTCTTTCGTTCAGGTGTGCAGGATTCATCAGGCAGTAGAGGTTGTGGCTTTGGCAGACTTGGCTTCTTTTCCTCAGTCTTGTTCAACTGGCCCAGCTCTGTCTGAGATCTGAAAGAAAGATCAAAATGACTAATATTGTTTTACCTAGAAGTAAAAAAACACTCAAAGGTAACTTGGACTTACATTTGTGCTTTGAGATTTTCTCGCTTCTTCAGATATTCAGCTCTCTCCTTGGACCTTCGCCATGCAGTCTGGATCACAATAGCTGCTCTGCTTCGGTATGTCTGCCGCAAATAACGCCACGATCGCTGAGGGATGAGAGAGGAAACATCTGCTCAAGTACATTTTCATTTATTGCCGAGTTTCCCAACCAGGTCCACAATCCGTTTGAGCCTCATGACGATTAAAAATTAAAATAAATTACATAATAATGTATAACAGCATTACATAAAATGAGAACATTTAACTGGAACATCTCTGTCTAACACAGGATGAGACTTAAACACTATTGGTTTGTTTAAAACAAAGAGAAAGACTACATTTTAAATGCATACACAACTGCTCAAAAGTTTGGGATGGTAAGAGTTTTTTTTATGATTTTGAATGAAGTCTCTTATGTTCACCAAGAATGCATTTATCAGATGTACAGTAAAAACAGTAATATTATTAAATAATACTACAATTTAAAATTACAGTTTTCTTTTTTAAATGTAATTTATTCCTGTGATGCAAAACTGAATCACATGATACATCAGAAATAATTTGAATATGCAGATTTGGTGCTCAAGAAACGTTTCTAATTTTTATCAGTGCTGAAAACAGCTGTGCTTTTTCATTGTTTTGTGCAAACCATTATACATTTTTTCAGGATTCTCTAATAAAAAAATAAAGTTGAAATGCAAAGTGGAAATCTTGTGACATTTTTGATCAATTTAATGTGTCCTTGCTAAATAAAGTATTTATTAATTAAAAAAAATCTTACTGACACCAAATTTTTGAAGGTTATATTATTTATTATATTTATTTAAAGGTTAGAATATTACTTGGCTATTACTAGACAACCCCTGGCCAACCAAACGAATAGTACCTGTATGGTTATAATTCCTTCCCTCTCGCGCAAATATTGTTTCCTCATCAAACAGGCACGGAACCATCTCTGCAGGATGATGATGCTCCTCATTACTTCTTTATGAAGGGCTTCTTGAAGTATTTGTCTTTCTGACTCTTTCAAGAACACCTGTGCACATAGTTTGATGGTCAGTCATGGAAAGCTGTATCTGAATGACAAAATGCAGATTGTGAGTATTTCTTTAGTGAAGAGTGTACGTGAAATAAACCTTGGTTCGGCCAATCTGAAAACTAGAGCTGGGTAATCCCATCTTGGTCAGCAGGTTGGTGATGTCCTGTTGAGGTGTTGATATTTCCTTTGGTAGCAGCACTCTGAACTGATCTGTAAACTCCTGCAGTGACATTGTTAAATAAGACATGTCTTGTATGCATTCATGGTTACAAAATGTATTATTTTCAAATAACTAATATTAATGGAATAGTTCACTCAAAAGAGTTTGTTTCTTCATCGGAACAGATTTGGAAAAAGCATTACATCCCTTGCTCCTCAGAATGACAGCATATTACGAGCAAAATGTGTGTCCATAATACATAATAACGCTTCCTCCAATTACAAAATGGTTTGGGATCCATCCCCTGTTGTCCTCTTGCATCAAACATCCACCAACATATTTGTTTAGAACTGTTTTGGACTGTTTTCGCTTGTAAACGGTGCTTAATCTATGTATATTTCTCTCCTGATTCAGACAATATGACTTTTTCACTGAAGAAAGCAATATTATGGATAGAGGACTTGCATTTAAGCCGGAAGCAACGCTTTAAGGTTAAAAACATCTTGATGGATTTGTTAATTACAAACACACAGCTTTTTGCTTCATAAGACGTTAATTGATGGACTGGAGTCGTGTCAATTACTTGTTTTTATCAGCTGTTTGGACTCTCATTCTGACGACACAGCAAGAAAAATGATACATTTCTCCAAATCTTTTCCGATTCAAAAACAAACTCATCTACATCTCGGATGGCCTGAATAAATTTCCAGCAAATTTTCATTTTTGGGTGAACAGGGTTATTAATCAATGAAAACAAATTAAGCAATCAAATTAACCTAAAAAAAATTGCAAATATCCGTATCTGCTGAGAAGTCTTCAAATGAAAAAGAAACTAGGAACATTATTTTAGCAGACGAGTAAAGCATTAAATAGACATAAAAAAAAAAATCAATATATGCCTATTACTGGCATACAGTCCACTACAAACCATTTTGTAATCGTTTATTAATCTATCCCTTTTTAATGCTTTTAATCTTCTCAATGTTTTTAATTAATTAATTTATTTATTCAATAAAACTAAATGCCATATTAGCACATTTATGTAAGGGTCAAGGGACATAAACAAATTGGTTATTTAAGCAGTTAGTTAAAAATTACTTTAAAACTGTATTAAATTAAGAGCCCTATTAACAATTATTAATTAAAAAGCAATCCATGTTACATTACCTTGAAGGTGAATTTGGCTCCATACCCAGACATCCTTATCCGAACCGTCTGTAGCATGCTGGTGTACCTCAGCTGCTGAAGGACTAGAGCATCATCAAAGTGCATTTCCCTCTGTAAACACGTTCACCAACATATATAAAGAACAATGATCCTTGACCTAATACATCAAATGGATGAATCGCAAAACTTACAATAGCTCTCTTCCATACCTTATCACCATTTGATCTGATACAGCGGACAAAGAACGGTTCTGCTTTCCTCAGGGTTTCCAACAGCTTGCTTAGTGATGCCTGGACAGTTTAAAACATGAAAGCATGTGACTCATTGAGTCGTCCATCAGCAACCATTAAACCCTTGCAAATCATATCAAAACCTCCCCACAGCTTAGGGGGTCTGAACCTTTTATCTAATTTACAACTACCACAGAAGAGGCTTTCACACAGAGATGGAACAAACCGATCTATAAGCCCTCTGATGAAAGAGCTTATGCTTTCCACACTAAGATAATAATATTGAACCTGGAACTGAGTACTGATGCTTGGAGGTTTCTTCTTGGTGTGTAGACGGAGCAGCGACCTGGTCGCCCGATTGTGCTGCGTCAGGCCCATAATAAACTTCAGAGAGTGTGAATCTATGAGATTCTGTACAGAAAACAACAGAATAACATTTAGTACAATCTCTCATATTTTAAACCAAAAAAAATAATACACATGTATTGCACAGTAAAATATACATTTTCTTTTATGTTTTCTGAAGTGAGTCTCGCCCATGTACAACTTTGGATATACCTGAACTGAATTTATTCCTTATAATTCTACAATAATTCACATAAATCTTGTGATCTAAAGGCATCTAAAACATTTTTAAAATATTTTTTATTATATAACAAATATTTGTATAAAAATATATATGATAATATAAAAACAGAAATATTGTGAAAAAAAAAAATCAGTTTAAAATAACTGTTTTCTATTTTAATATATTTGTGCATATTTTGTTCTGTAATGGCAAAGCTGCATTTTCAACAGCCATTACTATGTGTGTGTTTCTGAAATACTTGACATTAGCTTTGTAGACAAATATAAATTGTGACTATGTATGACTTTGAATAGTAAACTAACTTTTTTTTTGTTATTCAATGAGCTGGACAGCCAACAAGTATCAAGCGTACATGGGCACTCCTTCGGTATGGTTTAAAAATAGCATCCTAAATGGTACCTCATAAACTTGCTTTAGCAAAAACTACTACAACAAGTTTTGATGAATGAATTTACCTTAGGAATAAGCTGCTTGTGTCTGTTTGGCCTGTTCTTCCTAGATAGTGGTAACATACAATTAAGATTTTGATTGAAAATATTAAGATTTTGAAGAGAAAAAAACAAAACAAAAAGGACAGAATATTTCAGTTGATTTTTTCAAATTAAATTACACATAAGCACAAGCTGAAACAGAGAGCAGTGGTGCCGCCACAGACAGATGGTCACAGAACATGTGGCCCACTCACTGAAAGAAGAGACGAGACTTCCTCACAGAAATTGTGGATAGACGCAACTTTTGAGGAACTTCACCACCAAACTGCTTAAGGGATTGGAGGACTTTGGCATGCAATTCCCTGATTGAACCCAACCCCAAATCAGAAATGTTTAGAAAGGAGATAAATACTACAAACACAATAAAATAAAGACAGTATACAGCTGAAATTAGTCAGTCCAAACACCCATTTCACAATGAATCCAGTGAAAAAGGAAATCAGTTAGACTCTTAATTCACAGGAGAAAATCATCATCAGATGTAGAAGATTCCAAGCCTGGTATAAAGACCCTTGAGTGATGGTGAACTTACTTCTTATTTTCAAAAGTTGCAAAAATGTCCTCAAAGGCTTCGAGTGGACCCTCTTCAGACCGATCAAAAGAAAAGTCAATCAAAGCCCCCTGACTGTGTAGAGATCGAAATGCATTTATGAGCAGTTAAATGGCCATTTGTATAGATATAAAACAAACACTGTTATTTGCCATAAATCCACTGTTCCATCAAGATGCCACAAATCTACAGGAACTAATCCAGTCCATTTACCTCTTTAGCCTATCTACCACAGTGCTGGGTCTCTTCATTTCCCCAAGAGAGTGCCTGGAGTAGCGCCTGACCTGATCTGATATGGAAACAAGCATGTTAAAATCAATGGTAATCCACTTATGTAAGCTCTAAGTAAAAAGGTGTTAGCAGATCGCATAAATGTTACCTGGATGTTTTTCCGCCCAGCTTCGTCCAGCCTCGTTAAACACAGCCAGGGTGCGTATCGTGGCCCTAAGGATGCCCCACCTGAACACAGCCACTGGATTAGCCCCGATCAGCTGCCGCAGGTAACTGCACTCACTACTACGAAGCAATGCAACAATATCCGGCCTCATGTGGTCTGTGTTCTTCTCTCTGAAGTCCTATAGGGCAGGAACATCACAAAAGCTGTTTAGTATTGTGTTCCCACCATTGAAAAAAAATCGTTTCAGGGTCTTTTCCTTTACCTTTATCTGGTATTTGACCTTGCCAGCAAAATGCCGGATAACAAAAGCTGGTACCCGGACTGGGGTCTGCACAAAGAACGGGTTGTTCTGGTGCTGCTGCTTAAACTTCTCTAGTAGAGTGCTGTCTGTGGCTTGAGGAAAACTAATGAGGGAATAACTCAGAATATTAACTACTGGACCACTAGAAACCCCATAAAAAGATATTATGAGAGAAGGCTTAACAATTCACATTCTGTACTATCCATACTAAATTGTTTGCAAGATACAATTCAAGTAGTGGATCAGAAGATAATGTACCTTTTTTCAGTGGATTTTCACAGTGTGCACATGCTTTTAAAAGCATGTAATATATATGCGAGTATTTTTTGTATTTGTTTGGAAACAAAATCTTAAAAAGCGCAATTTTTTCCATTAAGAGAAACTAATATTCTATTAGTCTAAGTCTTTTTTTGCAAAGTAGATTCTAAATGTTTAATTTAAGAATTAAAGCACAGTAAAATTAAGTAACTGCACTTTCCACTAAAGGAAATGACATTTTATGCACCAATATTACAGTGCATACAGTAGTACTAAAAAGCCATTCTTTATGGGATTGAACTCACTTGCTCTCCTCATCCAGCAGATAAAACAGCCCGGTGGGTTTCTTGCTGAAGAGACTGATGCAGCCAATATTGTCAGGGTAGTCAATATTGTGCCATATGATTCCCTCTGCCATGTACTCTTCCTAAAACACAATGCAAGCTTGAGGCATATGCTGCAGAAATTCCCGTCCACAATTAGAGGAGACATCAAAGTACAACTCAGACATCAGAACTCACTTGTTCAAGCTTAAATATGCACTGATTGCAGTAATACTGTAGTTGTTCATTGGCATAATTAATGCAGAACTGTTCGAAACTGTTCGTCTTGAAATCTTCAAATCCAAATATGTCCAGGACACCAATGGATAGGCACTATGAGGAAGAGAATATTTTATAAAATTCATTGTCTAAGCAGATGCTTTCAGTTTGCCACCAGCTGAATGGATCAAGTCAAGTCCTTCCATAAAAACTACATATGTTATATGTAAATAAAATATAACATATAAACAAATACATTAAATGTATAAATTAAGGATTCATACCGGGACAGACTCTTCCAAATCTATCTTGTTAAGTAGAGCATGGTTGATTCGCAGGACAATCCAGTCGAACAGGGCACTGTACAGAGATTTGGCCATAGAGTCTCTGGCAGTGATGGCCTGAAGACAACAGTTTCAGTATGAGGTCAACAGATTCTTAGAGTACAGAAATGTAGAAAGACAAATGGAGAGGATAGAGCGGCCTCTTCAAACAGATGACTTCACACAAAGTATGAGAGATATGCATTAAACACATGACTAGTCAATGAATGGATGGTACAGAGTAGACAAATGTCAATATAATGTACCACCTAACACATAAAAGATGAAGTTACCTCACTGAGGCTATAAGGCAGGATTAGCGTGTCATTAGCAGTCATTGCTTTCCTAGTAGTCAGTGCTTCCACAAGCAGCTCCACTTTAACCTGTAATTGAACAGCAATTATATAAAAAAAGCTTTCAAACAGAGTATGACAGGAATTTGTCACCTGATCTAACAGACTTTCACAGATTGTGAAATCCTTTAAATGACAATTCCAAATAACAACTCAAGAAGTGCGAAATGGGTAAGCCGGGATTCCAATTGGAAAATCTGAAAGCCAATTGTGAAGAATCTAAAAGGAAAAAAACCTGCTAAGAGTCCTCTAAAAATCATGATTAAATCAAAATTATTAAAGGGTTTTTTTATTCTACAATGTCTTGAATATGATATGTGAATGCATATTTGTGTTTCGGTTAGTAATGATGATGGCATTTCTTTGCCATGTAGTTGGGGTGACCCAGTTAATTAATAGATGTCACTGCACAGTATTTCCAAAGAACTGTGGGGTGAGGTTTACTGTTGAGTATTACTATTTAAAGTAATTCTGTTTTTGTGCTGTATACCACAATGAATAGAAAAAAATTTTAACCAGTAGGAGGGACAGACGTTCAGCCTCTTATAGTGAATTTATATTGAACACTAAAGTAGCCAGTGGTACCTTAAGAAGGTCAGAGATAGCAGAAAGGACACGATCTGGCCCAACTTTAAGCCCCTCGGCAACAACTTTTGGCTCATACGTCACATTTCCCAGGTATAGAATGGCAGAGAGCACAGAGAATATCCTGAAAAAGACCATCAATAATGAACTACAATAAATATGAAGTATATTTATAAAATATATTTACTTTCTTTGCAAGGCAATTCCTTAAAGAATTACATGTCCAAAAAACATATTGCAATGGAATGTTTGGTACTTTTTTAGGTAACAAATCAAATTGAATGACACATGGGAATAGATCTTGAATAATTTAACAAGTTCCTATTTTGTCTAAATAATTATATTTCTAACACTGTATAAATAATTATTAGTTACCATATTTATATAACCAGAACATTTGCATACGGAAACACTGCTGTTCCTTGGAAGACAGCTCAGAATTATTTAAATGTGTCAGGTCTGACGTTGCAGCATTGCATTCTGTCGTCATGGCAAAAAGAGCACAGTGCATATTGAAAGGCTTGATATATTTTCCCCCTCTGTGACAAGCACAGACTTGTACCAGAGCAGAATTCTTCATTTGTTAGTCATGCACACAGCTGGTAAATTTTCTGTAGTGTGACTTTATCCCTCTAGGACAAACTAATTAGACATCATAAATCTTATTTATACTTCTGTATTCTATATATATATATAGAATACAGAAGTATAAATAAGATTTATGATGTCTAATTAGTTTGTCCTAGAGGGATAAAGTCACACTACAGAAAATTTACCAGCTGTGTGCATGACTAACAAATGAAGAATTCTGCTCTGGTACAAGTCTGTGCTTGTCACAGAGGGGGAAAATATATCAAGCCTTTCAATATGCACTGTGCTCTTTTTGCCATGACGACAGAATGCAATGCTGCAACGTCAGACCTGACACATTTAAATAATTCTGAGCTGTCTTCCAAGGAACAGCAGTGTTTCCGTATGCAAATGTTCTGGTTATATAAATATATATATAAAGTACAGTTAAGTGTAAATGTAATGGTTCTAACAGAGCTAAATAAATATTACAGATTAAGCATAATCCAAAAATGAGGCAACTGTACTTACACAAATAATTTAATTGGGGAAAATAATTAATTCACTTAATTTCAGATTGAATCTAAAACATAAAAATAAATATAAAATTCCTTCATCACCATCATAATATTTATTTTACTTGAAATCGCTTCTCACTTACTGCTTTTTGGTTGGAGGCAGAAAACCAACCATCTCCATGGCCTGATGAAGTCTCCTGAATTCATGCTTCATTTCTGCTTGATCCTCCGAAATTGGGATTTCCTGTGAGGGGCAGAAGAGTGAAGAATTAATGGAATAAAACTGTTGACATACAGTAAGTAATAAGAAATAGCAATATAAATAAGATGGACAGGTCAGCCCAGAAAATATAGTCTTGAAAGAATTTGATTATTACAGTGTCTTATCAGGACAAAAACACTGATAGGCTTAAGAAGAATTCTCCATTTGCCCTCCGTTTCATCTCACTATTGCTCAAAAGACAATCGAGAGCATCGTGAACCCTAAATGAAACTATAATGGCTTTATTAGGGAAAACTGATTGTCTGTGATTGCTGTTCTGAGAGTTACTTCTTTGAGGTAGTGGTATTCTTCAGGACGCAGGAGCTTGAACTCATCTTTCTCCTCTTCTGAGGCTCCAATCAAAAGGTAGTAAAAAACATGGTAATTCCTGAAGGTCAGATTACAAACAGACATGGAATGTATGTTGATGTGATACATTTTTCACATCTCCAACACTTTCAATTAAAATGTAAAATGGATAAAGATAATTGTTTTCCATTGTTTTACCTTTCAGTTTTTCCTCTGGACACTAGGCGGCATTTCTCCAGTAAGTATTTCTCAACAACAGCCCTAAAACATTGAGCAAACAGTATTAGGAATTTTAGATCAATTCAGATCAATGGCATGCAATTTTGTTTTTTTTTCTGCCAACTTTTTGAAAAGATAGGGAATGAGATCAACAAATGTTGTATGGGGGATATGAACATGAATTATTAGTACTACATAATATTTATAAATAAACATTATCCTCATAATATAAAATACATTAGCTGATGAGAAGCTGTGGGAGTTCTGGTGTGTGACGTCAAATGGGCAGAAGTACACAGATGACTCACCCTCTCACAACGCCGCTCTCCAGATAATTCACTTGAATGAACTTCCCAAAGCGGCTTGAGTTGTTGTTGTATGCTGTTTTAGCATTTCCAAAGGCCTGAGGAACCCCGAAAAGGAATGCATCAGATAGGCAAATTGTTTTAAGCTCACAGAAAAATATTTCAGACTAAAAAAAAAACACTGATATGACTTTCATGAATGTTGACAGACAACTCTTGTGTTGAGGCAAAGATGGTGGCCTAACTTAATCGGTTCAACTAGCCTTTAAAACTTGTCGAACAGACAAACTGTGTCTGAAACCACAGCCAACAGCCTCCCATTTCTGACATTAGAATATTACTATTATTAGTTGCTCAAACCATAGCATGTAGGTTGTCATAGATTACAAAAAGGAAAAAAAAAAAAAAAACATTTAGTGGGCAACACAGAACTACTTTTATCTCACCCACAGGCATTACAAACAAATGAACACATCTATCTTAGATGGCTTGTTGCCCAGTTTGATTTGTTTGTTGATGTAGTTAATGCTGATATACGTGTAATTTTACCCATGCTAAAATGCTTCCTCCAATTCCAGTTAAAAGGAATAGTTCACCAAAAAAATTTAAAATCTGTCTTCATTTATTCAACCACGTCATTTAAAACTCAAATTAAATTGTTTTGAAGAATCTCTGAACCACTCTTTTTAATACAATAAAAACAGATTGTAGGGACTATCAAGCTCCAAAATGGACAAAAAAACATAAAGTACTCAAAATTACTTATTTGCTACATTCAAGTCTTATGAAGTCATACGATAGCTGTGTGAAAAACAGATCAAAATTTAAGTCATTATTCAGTTAACATATTGTTCTCTGTTTTTTTCCAGAACAATGGCAGATAATGGGTGTTTTTGAAATTATATTTGATATATTGTTTTGTGCCACAAGAAGTGATGAAATTACACACTGCAGTTTTTAAGCAAAATTTTCTGTAGTCAGATATTGGCGTGTAAAATGTAATGACAGGCTTGTACACTGCACTCTATTGATTCTCAACATGTGCATACTTTCAACATGATCTCTACCATTACCATCATTCAGGACTTTTTTCCTGTTGTAAACTTTGTTTTTAAACATAGAGTTTCCTTGTTCCACTTCCATGTTCAAAGGAAAATAAATACTGAGGAAACGCATGAATAGAAAGAAAACTGAATGAGATGTTACATCTGTCAGTTGTTAAAGGGGTCATATGATGCAATTTCAAGTTTTCCTTTATTAAAGCATGTCAACATATTCTGTTACACCAAATACACAAAATAATGATCTTTAAAAAAGCATCATATGACCCCTTTAAGTTTTTATCAGCTGGCCTGAAAGAGCCTGTCATGACATGTTGGCGTACGCCGACTCATTCTGTATTCTGATAAAGCCAGCGCCCAGCGCTTCCACATATGAAACAGAATAATTCAGAGTTAGAAGCTCAACAATGAGGCCAAGATCAGGCCTAACACTGCTGTGCATCTTCAACAGCTGCTAGGTGTGCTTCCCACAGAGCTCTCTCGTATCCCTTTCGCACGGGAGAAGTAAAAGGACAAAGGTCACAAGCACACTCCTCAGATGCATCTTTAATGACTATCAAATGAAACTGAAAACTGAATTGCAGAAACTCTCAATATCAAAGTTCAGTAAAAGTGAGAGTAAAATTCAGTGCAAGTGCAACAAATTTTATTCTCAAGATGTGACATGACCCATTTTTGTTTCTCAAAAACATCTGTTCCATATATTTTCAACAGTAACTGGATTTATTTTACATTTTCGAAAAACAAAAAGCTGCAGATGGTTGCTAATGATTTTGGGATATTGTTAAGCAGATGCTAGCGTGGTCTTGGTGGTTGTTACCTTACCTCAAATGAGTCTCTATGATATTCTGATTCCTACATATGGCTTGGGTTCCTCCTTTATTGCAAGGGATATTTTTTTTCTAGCATCTTATCTACCAAACTACTACTAAATCACAAGTCATTTAAAAATCTCTTCAATAAGTTACATGATTTAAGACATCATTTATCATGTCCATAGTGTAATCTTGCAGCTGAAGTTTAATACAAACATTTAAGGATTTATTCTAACCCTAAATATGAGCAGTTAAAAAAATATTATTTCCTTATAATGCCCATAATTTCCATAATGTAAAACCACAACATATATCCCATCTTACCTTCCTGGTTCTATTAAAAAATTTTCTTATTTTGTTACATAAGAGAGGCCAGTAAACAGGACTATCTTTTTAAAACAAGACTAATTTCATAGCATTTTTCGAATATGTATGAACACCTAAATATCTAATGAAAAACTCTTTAGGTGAGGAAAGCTGTACAATTCCAATATCTGCCCAAAGGCTAAGCTGTATGAACCAAAACATAAAACACAATTATCACGGTGGTGGAGTCTCTCAACTGGTGCATAATAGATAAACAGCACCATGTGTAAATAACACTATCAGACAAACAATATGCATATTGTTGTGAGGGGTGCAAGTGAACGCAATGCACAAAGGCCTCTATGAAACAGTGAAGTGGGATACAGGGACAGGTGCTATTAATTCAACAAAGCCAAAGGAGGATAACATAGAACTCAGTAATATGAAGCAACGCTTATTTGTACTAAGAAGTATCTAAGCACTGCCAAGTTTGTGTATTTTTATATTTATTTATATTTTCAGGATTTTTGGATGAATAGAAAGTTCAAAAGAACAGCATTTATTTGAAATACATTCTTTTCTGTATCATTGTCAAATAAATGTCTTAAAGGGGTGGTTCACTCGGTTTTTTTCTAGGCTTGATTGTGTTTATGGGGTGCAGTCTAACATGTTAATGCTTAGTTTTTTAAAAAACACATTATTTTTCACATAATTTACCTTTATTCCACACCGCTCTGTCCCTTCTCTGAGAAACGGACTAATCAGTTCCTTCTTTTATGAAGCCCCTCCCTCAGAAATACGTGATGGGCTCTGATTGGTTAGCTGGCCCAGTGTGTTGTGATTGGCTAAACCGCCTCTAGTGCGCGTCTAATCGTCCCGCCCCTCACCTCAGCGGCATGTGCTCCGGTTGTATTGTAAACAGTGTTGTCGTTAATATCGCTTATCAGTTTGAGTCCGATTGAGAAGCAGAGGATATTATTGAAGAGGATCGTGCAGAACCTGTGCAAGCATGGCTTTTAATGGTAGGCCTATGTTTTTTGTTTGTTGTTGTCTCATACTTTTAGATATGCTGTTATTTGTAAATGCTACTGCTTATGTTAACTTCTAATATACTGTTTTATCTTGATTAAATCTTTAATACAGCAGAATACATGGTTGCATTATAGCATTTTTTTAACAGTAAGAAGTGTTTTGCCAGCAAGTATTGCTCGTTACAGTAGCAACTGCGTACACGTCCATGTTTAACGCTTCTCATAGCTATGTGAAAATAAGTGTATAAATGGAACAGTTCATTGTTGGAGCTGAACTGAATGAGAGAGAGAGAGAGAGAGAGAGAGAGAGAGATGCAGAGCGTGTGCAG